AAGGGTGGGTGTGCTAAAGTGGGTTAAGCCATGAGTACAAAGACTAAGAAATTATTTTCAGTTAGATGATTTGATGACCATCCTCCAGAGAGGTCTTTCTGACTTGGCTTTCTTAAAACATACTCCCAGTTTTGATGGTAAAATGTTATCATCTGACTATAAGTCGTTTTCATCTTAGTTACCAGAACAAGAACAAAGTCATCTAAACACTGTACTACACATGTTAACAGGATGGGGGATGTTGGTGCAGGCCTTGGGAGGCTGAGACAGAAAGACTGGCTCTGAGTTTGTGGCCAGCCTTGGCTACAAAAAGAGTTGAAGGCCAGTCTGAGCTATGTAGCAAAGCCCTAGTTCAAAAAAAACAAACCAACTCTTGACAACAGTTTTCCTTAGGGAATGATAGGGAAATATTCACATTTTACCTTTAACACTTTTATATTTATTTGTAGAATGAAAATATAAATGCAAGTTTAGAAAACAAATACAGGAGCCAGGTGCAACAGTGCATGACTGTAATCTGAGCAACTCAGAAGACTGAAGCAGAACTCTCACCAGTTTGAGAGGTCAGCCCAAGCAACTTAGCAAACCCAACGTAGCTCAGGGAGGGGAATGGTTCAATCCCAGGTTCAATCCCCAGTACAACAAAAGCAAATACGGGGATCCCATCAAACACATATGTAAATGTAAATGGAGAAAACCAGGGATTTTGTTTTATACCACCTAGAACTGAATTTTGTGCTCCGAATAGCTTACTTCCATCCCTTCTTCTTAGAATAAATCTATGAATGGGATCTACACCTCATAAATGGATAAACTGTTTTACTTCTTCAAAATTCAGTGATTATTTCAAATTATTTTTTAAATAAGATAAAAACCTAAAATGGTCAATGGTCAAAGAGCTGAAACTAAATCATACTTCTTTTTCCTAAATAAGTAGTGTATTAACCACAAAGACAAGGAGAGAACACCGGCTATGCCTCACAAGACCTTCAACAACTAGATAGTTCTATAGGGCTTAAAGTATTCCTTGTTCTACAGATACAGTCTCAAACAGTTAAATGTGCAAGGATTGGTGTCTAAAACAGACTAGAATTATTCTGAGCACCCACGTCTTTGTTAGGTAAAAGAGGGACCCTTTAGTAAACTAGTAAAAGTGTACTTAGAATTTTACCAGTCCAGCTACCATTAACACACCACCACATCCAAAACCAAAATCTGGACTTTTCTTTCCAGTAGTCTATTGGCATTATTAATAGTCTGTTTCCTTAGGTTGGACGTTCCTACTTTTGTTGCGATAAACACCACTCAGAACACTATATAATTTTTCTTTGCATTCCACTTACTAAGTCTGGTGAAATATAAAGATGATCTAGGAAACCCAGAAATGAAAACATGCATTAAAAAAGAAGGTAATTTGTTAATGTAGTGATTTCAAAAAATACTGCTAACAATTAGAGTGAGCTGCATAAGGCACTGTCATACCTATTTTATTAGCCACCTTTTTAGCTAGAGATGATCTTTCCTGTTGTCACAGATTCCTATCACTTTTCCAACATTTGTATTAACTTCCACGTTCTTTTAGTCAGCACCAACAGAACACGCTACAAAGCAGCAGGTATATACTCGTATTTGGTAAATTGACTCATACGTAGGAATAGGGTACTTTATCTGAAGGTTTGTCTCTCTCCAAAATTCAAGTTGAGATCCTAGCATGATGGCATTAAGAGATAGGGCCTTTGGGAAGTCATTAAGGGAGGAAGTAGTGACTTAATAAAAGACCCCAAGAGGTTGGGGTGTCCAAATCAATAGGAGGTATTACTTGGAAGTATGAAAATATCATAGTATATATATATGTACTCATATATAGAGATCTCTAAGGTCTACTGAGAAAAACATCTCATTGTTTCATTATATTCCATATTCACATAGATGGGATTAAATACATATCCCATATGTTCATATATGGGCTATCTATATCCTACACATGATATATATCACATTAATCATATCTTCTATTGATATAATGTGGTCCCTTGTCCATGAATTTAATTCTTTCCATGATTCTGGAGGCAAACTTAGTCTGACAAGTACTAAATCAAATTCAATGGTTAAACTCCATGTTTACCTTATGGAGAAACTTGATTCAGTTCTTAACTGATTATATGTGTGTGTGTGTGTGTGTGTGTGTGTGTGTGTGTAATCAAATTATATAATTTATCTATATATCTATATAGATATCTATCTCAGGCCGGCCAGACAGCTCAGCAGACTAAAGCGTCTGCTTAGGCAGAGCACAGTGGCCAGGGTTCGATCTCCAGCATCCTGTGCCAACCCCGATGTGGTGGCACGAACCTGTAATCCCAGTGCTTGAGAGGCTGAAAACAGAAGAATCACTATGAGTCCAACCTACATAGTAAGACCCTATACTAAAAAGGATAGGGAGATATATAGATATCTATATATCTATATATCTATATATCTCCTTTGCTTTAAACCCCAGAGAAAGACTCACTATGGGAGTGGGGTGGGGGCTCAAGAAAGAGGGCTGTCCATCTGTGAAGCAGGTCCTCACCAGACACCAAGTCTCCAGCATACAGCATACAGAACCAGGACAAACCAATTTATGTGTATAAGCCATTCAGCCTGTACTTTGTTGTTGCAGCCCCAATGCAGTCAAAATTCAAGGTCAGGAAGTGAGTTTAATTTCCCTAGAACACTAAGAAACCAGATTTCTTTGAATGTTTCATTCTCTTTTAAAAAAATCTTTAAGATATCATTTCTCCAAGCCACACAGAGGGCAGCATGTAGCACAGCACAAGTTCAAAGGGAGTAGTGTAGATGTGAGTTCCAGAATTCTGGGAGTCATCTGAGTGACCAAGTTTGGGGGAGAGGGGTATTTTCTTTTCAATTGACACTAAATAGAGAAAATTGTAAAGGTAACGGAAATAAAAGTTCTGGGCACCACGTTAGACCAATCTGGCCAAATCAATTACTATAAACGTTCTGAAGAAGTATTAAGTATTTTACTAAATAATCGTATAAAATTCTAACAAAACAGTTATATTACAGTAAAGCATAAATATAGTCCTGCAACTTGGGAGTCTGCCTGTTACTGGGCTTTGACAAAAGCCCAGTACCTTCCTATAGAGAAGTCGGTGAGAACCTGGGGTTGTTAACACTGTTCACTCCAGTAACGTGGCATCCTAATCAACAGGAACACAGAAACATCTGACTCCAAAACGCAAGCCTTTAGGGCCAGAGAGATGGCTCAGTGGAATAAGCGCTTCCCTGGCAAGTACAAGGGCCCGAGTTCAATCCCCGGTACCGCCAAAAAAAAAAAAAACAACCCCAAAAACGCAAGCCTTCAACAGTAGCCCACAGACTACTCAATGTACGTGGCATATTAAAGAGGTAAAGGACCTGCTCAGTGGTAGAGCACTTGCCCA